TATATATATTATTATACTCAAGGGCAGTTTAGTGCTATTCCTTACATGATTAACTACTAATTACTTGCATGTAAAGGCTACAGCTAGTAGACTGGCTCTTTTCTAGTGTCTTCATAAGTTAGAGCTGCACTACGAAAATAAGGAAGGTGAAAAATGCCAATACAACCAGTGTTAAAACCTGTTTCTTTATTTCTGAAGAACATCTCTTTGTGGCCTCCAAATACATTATACATTTTCTAGCTCTCAGCGTAGTTCCTGGGATATTGTCTCATCAGCAGTCCTAATGACTAACTAGTCTATAGTCTCATCTAAACAAATCAGTCAGCAGGTCAAAACTCATATTCACAATAAATTTCAGTATTAGGACATTTTCCTTTGAAACTGGAGTAACACTTTTTTTAGGCTTTTACAATAACAGGAACATTAAAACTCAACACATGCTAAGTAAGACTACAGAAGTTTTACTTTTGATAGTTACATGTTGCTCAGAGTGTGTGTGCGAGCATGTATCTACAGGTACACACGCAGGGAATCTTAGAGTCTGAACCGCAGACAGGCTTCTCCATACGAACTATGTCAGGGACCAACCCCATAAGCCTCCTGACTCCTTGTTCCTTTCCCACCACATCTTGCCTAGTGTTGGATAGTCAGAGGGAGCACTGCTGTCTCAGACCTGCAGACCTCCAGCTTGCTAGAGCTTTCTAGGCTTCCATGGTCCTGACTCCACAGCAGAAAGCCTGTGGTTTTATCATTATTCAAAGAACAAACAAGTTCTCACTGGAAAACAGGAAGTTTTTCAAATCAAAGATGTACTTGAAAATAAAGTTGCATCAAAAGAAGCAACCTTTTCTGAAAAACAACCAAAACATCACAAATATTTCTAAAGTTATGTTTTGAAATTAAAACAGGTGTTTGATAAAAATACCTTTTCCTTGATCTCTTCAATTTTGTTTTTTCTTTGCTTTTTCTTTTTTGTCTCTTTTTTTCTTCTTCCTCATTTAAATCTATGGATAAAAAGTTAGAGTTTACAAAACACTTATCTAAATTGAGATCAGCATTAAAAGAGTGGCTTCAATAGCAATGTAAAGTTACTACAAATTCTTGTTCAAAGTTTTTCTTTTCCTTCCTCCAAATTCTGGTCTAGTACAGTAATTTCAGAAGTATTTTGCAGAGAAGTAGAACTCTTTATACAACTTACGTTTCAATGACTTTTATCTAAGCACTAAGACTGAAGGCAGGCCCATAAAACGTAGAAAAAAGTTGTGACTTTTCCTATATGTTTATATCAGCTCTATGTTTTCAGATCTGTTCTTCTGTATTTTAAAAAAGACTTGTCCAAGTCTGAAAACAGGTCATTTAACTAGAATGTACCAAAGAAAAGAATATGCCCATAGGCTTGCCTGAATTACTTTCACACAATCTCATTTCACACTTCACAAATAGCTACGCCATAACTAAGATAAATTTCAGTTAACTGTCAATATACTGTCTACAAAAATTGGCAGGAGAGTCACCTCTCATCTGGTCATGTTTGTTTCTTGCCCTAATACTGTATAGCATTGTATAATATCTTTGCTTTCACTTATAACCAATATTTTTATCACACTATATGAAATTTCTGACTTTATACATACCAGTTCAAAAAGTGTTTTTGAATTCTCCAAAATGCAAATCCACTACATAGATACACATTATAATGTCAGCTAACAGGAAAATACTGGCTTTACAATTTATCCTTAAAACAGATAGCTAATTTTGAGCATTTCATCTTATTTCTATCACACAAATAACTTCCCATAGAATCTGCATGCTGGTGCAGTTATTCATTTGCTACCACAAACAGCAATTACTAGTCTGTATGTTCTGGAGTGAAATTTGAAAGAATGCAATATGAGTTACAAAAAGCAAATTACTTTTGGAGCAAATAAAAAACATGAAAAAGAATGTGTGAACGAGCACACAGTATTTTTTTAAGAAAATCATGCAAAAATCTTGAGAAGATAAGGCCACTTGAAAATGGAAAAATCCTGCTTAGATTACTGACAGTTGTCACCCTTTAATGCTGGGCCAGCACTTAAAGCGGATGACAGATGCTGTCTATTAACTCCTCCCCCTTCCCCTCCTGGAGGAGTAGAAAGGAGAAAGGAGAAAAGGGAGATACTTATTGGTTCGAAAGTTAAAAACAACTTTAATAAAACTATAATAACAATGAAAAAGAGTACAATAATATTAATACTAATACTACTACTAACAGAAATAAAAATACACAAAACTAGTATTGCACTTCCTGATGATTATGGAATTGCAGGTTGCAGTGGCTTGCACCACTGACACAGCAGGGTGGGCACCAGGATGTCCCAGACTGGACTCCACAGCAGATGGGAAACAGACTCAGGGATACGTGGACAGGAATCGGAGGCAGGAGAACAAGCAGAGTCCCACAGTGATGCCGGCCATGAAAGAAGGACCAAGCCCCATGATCCCTTAGCTTTATACTGAGGATGACATGGATGGGATGCAATACTTTGCTGGTCAATTTTTGGTCGCCTGTCCTGTCCACTCCTTCCCGCAGGGGTGACCGTTTTATGCCTTTTCACTTGTGGACCATAAGGGAGCCAACAGGGACCTTGGGTCACACAGGGATAAGTACAGATGTGGGCCTTTCTGCATACCTATCCCACCATTACCTTGGTTACAACAACTATTACTAAATAACAACTTTTGGAATTGATAACATTAAGTGTTATCAATTCTAAAAGCAGGCACTGTCTGAAAAACACGTAGTCAACTTCAGAAAGTGCAGTTACTTAGAAGAAATTTAGATGAGGGAAAATCCACTGAAAGGAGAATTGGTCCTGTTTGAGAAAGAACATATCATAAACAGGGACATTACAAGATCAAGTAAACAGCTGTTTCTCCTGCACATTTCCATCTTCAATCAGTTTAGGGCCAAAAAAACCCCAAGTACGTAATAGGTGGGAACAAGTTTCTCCAAAGAGACTTTTTCCAAGAAAGGACTGTTGCAGTACCAATTCAGCATTCCTGACAAGTAGACTACACATTTCTTTTGAAGTGTTCCTTCAAATTACAGGGCTCTATATATCCATTCTCCTTCCTAAATAGCATCTTTAGTAGAAACTGAATGTTGAGTCTGGAATGTGGGAGCAATGGAACAAAACATGACATTTCAAGGGACAGAGGGAAAGAATATTCATTCATTCATTTAAAACATGCTATGGTGGAACAACCTCCCCTTCTTACTTAGAGGAACAGCTTCTTCAGAGTCCAAATTCAAGTGAACTCATGTGTCTGCTAAGTAACCCATCTACTCTCTCTCTGACAAACAGTTGACGCTCAGAACTTCCAAACAGAGAACAGTACTTACCCAAATACAAATGTTTAAATTCAACTCACCAGCTGTTTCACTTAAAACACTACTTAGAAACTGGAGAGAAATTCAGCTGTCATATCTGTGATTAGTTTCAAGAGTTACCGTCAACTTTAAGATGTTTAAACTATAAGACATAATCAAAATTCACATCCACATCATTTTCTCCTAGCCAGCTTCTTACTAAAAGTCTTACAATATTTTGTATTTAGGAGCCCTTCTTAAGATCTTCCAAATGGGTACATTATTAATCTCCTATAACAAGAATTAATAATAATAAAAAAAGATGTGGACGTATCAAACCTCTGAAGTCTGAACACATGAAGTAAAAGATCCACTTCTAAAGCACAGGCTAAAAGAACTAATAGTTGTTATCAAAAAGGACAAAATGAGAGTTCCAGTACTTCAGAAGACCATTACTCAATTTGCTCTTTAAGGGAAAAAAAAAAAACCACACACAACAAAACCCCAAACCAAAACCTTACTCTTTTTTTCACGCATGGCTTGCAATCTCTGTAGTTCTTCTTCCTCACTGTCTTCACTGCTAGTGCTGCTAACATCTAAAACAATATCTCTTTGAGGATCTACCCGGAGGAAGTTTCGACACTCAAATGTCAGATGACCAGCTGAGCAAAACAAATATTCAGAAAGAAAAATTACAATTTACCGAAGTATATCAGAAACTAAAGAACATCCATTTTAGTATTATTCAGTTTTGAGGAGTTAAAAAAAAGAACTAGGCTGCAATCTATGAATGAGGAGGGAGAAGGCTTACTTTGAAAAAGCCTCAAAGAATTTTGACAGGTTGCGCAAAGTTATTCCATTTAATAGTGTTTTATGACCTCTCTCTTATTCCTGTTTATTGAAAGATTTTGTCAAACCCTCACTTTCTATTTTTTGAATGGTCTCAGATCTATCCTGAAGAAATTACCTAAAAATATGACATGAAGTGTTTAAAAAACTACAGCAAGTGTATTATATTGTTCTTTTCGTCTCCCTCTAGTGAAACAGAAGAATCTTATTTGCTTATGACACATAAACTTTAACAAACACTACATAATACTGACTAAGCTACTACTTGACTAGCATTTTTAGTTTTCTAAGTTACATCTAAATAATCACGACTAGAGTTAGAAACCTTGTGCTGAATAGACCTGTTGGAATAATAAAGAGAAATAAAACAAACTGAAGATATGGTTTGGGAGAAACTAAGCTAAAGACACAGGAATTCAAATAGCAATTGAAATAAACTCATCTTCTTCATATTAAAATACCTACATCTTGAAGACAGAGCTTTTAGGAACATAAATACAGGTTGTGTGATTTGACTACAAGTTTCCTTCTCTTCTACAAAGCTTCTGATACCTACTGCACAAAGAAACAAAGCACTAAATCTATACCGATATCCATGTTTCTTTGGAAGAACAGATACACAAAGCAATTCATTGACAAAATGTGTTGGAGACAAAGTCTACAATGAAAGAATGAAGCAAGATTTTTCCCCTTCACCCCACATAATGCTCATTAAAAAAACAGATTAAATCACTCTGCTAAAAGTTCAACACAATTCACTGCAAAACACTGTCCACTCCTCCATTGATCTAAAAATAAGAGTTAGTGATTAACAAATTAAAATCTTCACTAAGACCTGTCTTCATTCATCAGGAGACTAGCCACAGACATGCTTATATGATCAGAGTATAATGCAAAGCATGAGCTAAATGCTAACTACAGAACTTCTAAGTAACAAAATTAACTGTTTCTTGAAATATAGAATGCACAAAGAAGTATGTTTTCTTAGCACAGAAGATCATACAGATTTTAAATTATTTTTTCTTTGAAAACAGATCAGACTTAGGCATTTCAGCTCAAGTTAAGTTTGCAGTGAGACTCAGAAGCAGCACAAATGCTAATCTCAGTAGATATCAAAGACCGTGCTTTCAATTCAAAGTTTCTAAAGCAACTGCATTGCAAATGTTGTATATACGAATATAATAGCATACTTTTTTTTTTTGAGCAACTCAAGAGTTTTCAAAAGCAGCAATAGATGTGAAGAGGTAGAGAATGAATAAGAAATAAAATTAGGTAAACAAATGTCTGGGCAACAAGGCAGAACACATTTTTTTTTTTACCCTTTTCCCCCTCCTCAAAAGGCAGCTCCAACACCATAAATTGAAGAAAACACTGTAACTTCACATTGCTTACTACAGACTTACGGTAGCCACACTTCTTGCACCCTGCTCTGATGTTATCCTTATTTCCACCTGAAAGAGAAATTTTATCAATTAGGTGTTGCTAGACAGAACTCTCAAGTTTCTTTTAAATCCGTCTTGGTAATGTCAATACACAGACAGGACTGATCACTTCTCAGAGTATTAAGAATGCAAAGATCTCTAAAAAAACTTAAATAAAAGCAAAGCAGTGTATTTCTAAGGTCACTTTTCTGAACAGTAATCTATGAGGAGAAAGAAAAACCTGCTCCAGCCTGGGCTTCTCCCTCCACGGGGCCACAGGTCCTGCCAGGAGCCTGCTCCAGGTGGGCTTCCCTCAGGGTCCCAGCCTCCTTCAGACATCCCCC